GCCTTTTCCACCAGGCACTTCCCAGCCTGTGGCACTGCCTGGGGTGGCTGTGACCAGGATCCAGCATTTGGCCTTATTAAACCTCACCCCAACCACCCAACCTGCCCAGACACACCACAGACACACCAGTCTTTACTTCATGGTGTTTGGTGATAAAACTGGCACTTTTCTAAGCAACCAAAAAAAGGCAGAAACATCCTCAGGCACCCCCTTTTAACCCTGTACCAAGAGGAGCCCAGCTCAGAGCAGCTCCCACCCTGCTCCTCTGGGGATCACCAGAACGTTTGGAAGCGGTGACGTGGTGACAACAGGCACCACCCACCAAGCTGCTGGGAGGCTGCAGGGAGCAGAGCTGCCTCTGGTGCTGCTGCTCCCTTGTCCTGCCCTCAGGGGAGGCAGCAAAGGCACCCCCAGGGCCCAGCCCCTCACCCTGCCCCCAGATCTGCTGCTCCCCCACCTGGTTTCCTGGCTTCACCAAGCGCAGGGCGGCCTCGGCGCAGAGATGAGCTGCCTTGATGACGTCGGCTTTACGGCCTGACACAGGGTTCTCCTGCCAGGAGAGAAGAAGGAGAAAGGCTTCTCAGGCTGTGGCCCCTTCCCTCTGAGGGCTAGGAGCTGTTCCCAGTGCCTGGAGGCAGATTCTCCCTCTAGCTGGGCACCCTCCCGCTGAGGGAGCTGCGGTATCGAGCCTGGATGTGGACAGAGACTGAGCCTGGAGGGTTCTGGTTCCTCAGCTCCACCATTAATCTCTCCCCCACTGAATTTGCAGATGAGTATCAACCACAACCCAACCAAACTACTGCTCTCAGAACCTTCAGCAGGGTCACCCTGGCAGAAAAGACCAGGAACAGCCCCAGACTCCCCTGCAGCCCTAAATCCAGCGGGGAGGATTTCAAACAAGGCTTGTTTTGGCTTCTCCCCATCACGTCGCTCAGGGCAACCCCATTCCTGAGACCCCAGCACTGCCCTGCTCCCCAGACAGCCACGAGTCTGCTGTGATGGCACCTGGCACACAACAGCCACCCCCACGTGTGGCTGGGGCTCAGCACCCCCAGCTGAGAAAAGCCCCCCCTGGGCAGCAGGGATTCGTTTTGGGGTCACCCCCCCCCCCTCTGAGCTCAGTTTTGTCAAGGGGAAGGCAGAGACTCCTCGTGCCTCAGCCAGCAGAGGGGGCAACAAAACCAGTCTGCCCAGTCTGCCCCTGGGGTGAATAACTCACTGCAGTGCTGCTCACACGTGGCTGGCTTGGAACCTTGCAAAATGGTCCCTGGAGAAGCAGCAGCAGCAGCAGCCACCCTCCTTTCCCAGAGGAATGAGGGAATTCTCAGGAAAGGGGCAGTTTTTGTCCTGTCACCCCAGTGACACCAGATGGGTGGCACTGCAGTGAAAGAAGCTCCTCTTGGAACTCTGCTGGGGACCTAGAGGCTGGAGCAGCTCTGGGAGCAGGACAGGCTGAGAGCCCTGGGGCTGGAGGAGCCTCAGAGGGGATCTGAGCAGTGCTGAGCAAGAGCTAAAGGGCCC